TCCGTTTTATAGAAGTTAACGCTAACCCCCTCCTCTTCCCTCAGTAACCTGTTTGCCCCGCAATCCCCCACTTTAGATATAATCTGCCAAATGTTTTCCCACACTCTGATTACACGTTCCTCCAACCCCCCCACGTCGGATTTAATGCCCAAAAAACAGAAATTCCTTTACCTCCTATCCTATTTATCCCCCATTTAACCCCCCCTTGACATCCTCACCATAAAAAATATACTACATGAAAAACCCGACTCCCCCCCACCAATATCCCCACTCCCCCCCGTAAACGACTCGTCTACCCTAAAACCCACCCCCGACGGTAAAATCCGGCAGAAAAGATACTTACTCCCAAACAGGGGGGGTTGCAAACCTCTCCTACTCAACTATTCCTATATTTCCCCATGCACACATGGGGAAAATTTCCTTACGGGCTACAACCCCGGAAAAACTATCTACCAACCTCCCTTTTTTTTTAAAACCTTTTGTGGTTTCCGACCCACGCCAGAGCCCTAAACACAGTTTCACACTCTTGAAAATCAACTCTGTTACCCCCTTTGCAACTTTTTTGGACCCTGGCCCCCCCCCCCCCCCCCACCCACATTTCCCTCATCACCCCCTTTTTAAAATAAGACAATTTGACCCTCGCTTTAAGCCCAACCCCAGCCCCCCCACTTCGGGTAACTTTACCATTCTCTTTTAAATTTCCAACACGCTCGAACCCCACAAGAATTTAAAACCTTCCAAATTTATGTTCGTTTTGTGGCCCTTTAATGGGAACACGGGCCCCCAGGCCATACTTTCTATACAGAAAATTTTAAACAAAAATGGACGCTGAAAAGGGTAAAATGAAAAAGGTCGCAATGCACCCAAGGTCCCTGTCCTTTTACCACCTAAGGGGTTTTTCCCATGCGTGCCACGGTGACGCGCATAAAAAAACCACAGTTTTTTAACGAATTCCCTGCTTCCCAAAAACTGATCCCCCAATAAACCCTCCCCCCCCCAACCCCTAACCCCATGCCCATGGATTTATCTAAATTTTACCCTCAACCCAGTTGCCCTCGAAATTTGTATCCCCCTTAATGTGTCCTTTGAATCCCCTCCCTGCAGAACCTTTTGTACATCCACATCCCCATTAAAATTTGGCCCAAACCCCTGCACCTCACACCTGGCCCCTCTACGTGAAATACGCGTCCATCAATCTATAAAAGGGGTCTGTACGATGCAAACAATAAGTGACATAGGCCCCCTCCTAAGCCCCTCCCCATTAAAAACTTCCCACCCAATCGACCTTTAAATCTGTCCCCTCCCCATTGCACCCCCATACAAACGCTAACCCAGCCCACTATCTTTTCCCCAAAAACCCCTGACCCCTAGGTGGTTTCAATGCTTTCCATCCACCTATCGTATCCCCCTTGAATCGGCGCCCCCAAACCTCCCCCCCTCCCCCCCCTTTTGCCTCCACAAAACCCCTAAGTAACCCAGCCCCCCCACCATAGCCTCCCGGCAAACCAAAACGAGTTTTTGATCTACCCCCCCTACCACCCCCACTTGCCCCTTTTCCCCAAAATCTTCGCAAAAATTTTAACGCGTAACAAGGATCCCCCGGTAATCCCGAACGTATGTGCCCTTCCCCTTAGGTCCCAAAATACAACGACGCCGTTCCCTCCCCTTCTCACCCACTCACCTCTCTCCTTTCTGAAATTTAATACCTAACCAGAAAACCCTCAATAGTTCCCATGTGCGATAAAAATCACGGGAGCCCATCAATTCCCGGGTTTTGCCCTTTCGCTTTCCCCTTTAAAAGCCCCCAAATTTTTCCCCCCTCAGTTTTTTCGCACCCAGTGCTTCCCTATCATGTTACGAAACTGACATACCACACTCCACACACCGGTTTAAAACCCCCCCCCCCCACCCTTCTCGTTCCCCGTACTGCTCATACCATTTTGTCAGCAAACGCCCCCCTTCCTTCCGTAGCTTGTATGACCCCCTCCCTGTACCCTCCCATCGATTCATGAACCCCCACCCGGAATAGTCATTGTGCTGTCTTTGTTTTGCCTACGCAAAACCCGATGAAAGGGTTTTTTCGCCCCTAAACCTCTTCCACCCCCCCCTGTACCCCCACCGCTTGGGAAACCTCTCATCCGTACCCCACGCAGCCCCCCCTTTAATTTCCAATTTCTCCATTGGGATAAGTGCCGCACCACCCCCCTCGATAACAACCGAATCTATCCTCCAAAAGTTAGAAGCCCAATTTTAAAGAATTTATAGTTTCCCTTCCACGTAATATTGCTTATCCGTTTTTTGCCCACACCACCCACCACTTTCCCCCATCCTCTACCCCCCTTTTTTCTCGCACGAACCCCCCCCCACAGCGTTTTCAAATCCCCCTTATCCCTCCCAAACACCCAACACATTTTATTTAATTTCCCAAAATCCCCCAATTCCTGTAGTGACCCCCGCCCCCTCTGCTACTACCGCCTTGATCCGAATAAATACTTCTATTGTAGGAAAAAATGTCAACCCAACCCCCTTTAGATTATACAGCCCATCAACCTAGCAGCGTAACCCCGTCTTACAAAAATTGCTCTACCTCCCACGCCCCCCCTCCAACCCATCCGCAACTGAAATCCCCCAAAAGATCTAAAAGGCCCCCGCACGTGCCCCGCCCCCCTTTTGGGTTTCCCCGTCGCCCCCAATAACGCCCGTTCCAGTCGCCCCCAACGATGGCCACTGCAGGTAAACCCCGTAAAAAGAAAATAGTTCTTCACTACAAAATCCCTTTTTACCCTACATCTTTCCCCGGTGATAAACATCAAAAGATACCCCCTGTCCCCTCCACCACCCCTCCCCCCGGGAATACCTTTTCCCCCCTCCCCCCCCCCATTTTTGCAACCCAAAAGGGCTTGCCCCCTGATCAAAATTTCCCACACCACCCCTTTTAGACGTGCAGATGGCAGAGTCGACCGAAACCCCTCCCCCCCGAGCATCTTCCCCCCCCCCTTTAAATGTGTTCTTGCAGGAACACACATCCCCCAAAATTTTTTACAGAAACTTTGAAACCTTCCTTCTTCACACTATTCACAGTCCCTTTACGTTCACTCATACCTAAGGGGTCTTTTTTAAATTTCCCAAACCCCTTCCCCCTCTCTTTATTCCTCCCGGGCCTCCGCCCCGAGCCAGCACAGGCTTCACCATCAACCCCTCCCCCCTTTTTTTCGATGCCCCTTATGGATGCTTCGACATTGCTTTCCTTCCTCCCAACCCTTCGCCGGGCAGGAAAACATTGAGTCTGACGCCCCCGCTTTTCCCTGAGCCCTCTCCATGTTATTTCTGAGGTTCCCTCACATGAACCAACCTCCACAGCCCCCTTCCACAGCACACGGGGACAATCTTCTTTTTAGTTGGCCCGTCAACCCTGCTATGTTTTTATCCTTACATTCCTTACAGGCCCGCCCGGCTCTCACCAGCTCAGGAAAAAAATCCTCGCGGCGGGGTCAATGTCCTTAAAAACTCCTGAAGCTCTTCCCCTAGAGCCTGCACCTCCCCCTGCACTTGCCTTCTGTATTGTCCTTTGTGAGTAAAAGATCCTTTTAATCATAGCTTACCCACACATGCCTTCTCCTCTTTGAATCCCCCACCTCTTCAACCCCCCCAAGCGCCCGGCCCTTGCTTTGGGATGGGCTCTCAACAGCTATCACGCTTGGGAATGGGGCTTACCCGTTTCGCTGGCCCCCTCGCTTACCACCTGCCCCCAGTGGCGTAGCCCCACATATTCTGCACGTAGTCTCTGTCCCGGGATACGATACCTAAATTGCGTCCTGAAGTCCCCCCAACCGAGTAAGACGGATGGGTGTTCAGAGTCATTTCGGGAAAAAGGGACCCTCGGACGTCCATGTAACACCTGCCTCCCTTGCCCTTTTGTGCCCGATTCGGTTCCATATTTTCAAAAAATCCCTTTGTCAGCCCCATCTCCCAAAAGGGACTTAATCTTTAACCCCCGTAAAGTGGCGAGATACGTCGATCAAACGCCCTTCACAGTGGGGTAGGTCAAACTCACGTTTGGAAACCCCTTACCAAAGACCATACCGGAGGGGGTTCAGTTTGACGAAGTTCTATAAACCCCATTGGGCTCACCATACACCTCATGCCCGGATTCCCTAGGTCTCCAAAGTTGTCGGGGGGTAAGACTTGCACTGAAGAGGTGAAACGCCCCACAAAAACCTCAGTACCAATGGATTTACGCGCCTCCTCACACCGGCCAGTTGATACAAAGGGAGCTGCCCGAACAGCGGGGGTGCGCGCACAACCTCACCCACCGTGGTCAGGCAGGAAGTCTATTCTTTCCCCTGACTAAATTGGCGCCACTGATTGGTGGAGGGGGGTAAAACTCAGGGTTGTTTGTGGGGAGGGGGAAGGGCGTTTGGGGGAAAAGGGGCGGGGGTTGGGTGCGGTGGAGGGGTTTGGGGGTGGTAGTTGTTTTGGGGGGGGTTTTAATAAAATTTTTCTTTTCCCCACCCCCCCCCCCCCCCCCCTTTTTACTTTTGGGATTTTTGGGAAAAGGGGGAAGGATGTTTTTAAAAGGTTCCCCAGGGACCCGGGGTTTGTCTTGTTTTTATCGGGGGGTTTTAAAAATTGATTTTGGGCCCAACACTTTAAGGGGGGCCCAAATTGAAAAAAATTGAATTCAAATGAAAATGCCAAAACTGTTAAACCAATTTTCGAAAAAAAAAAATTATTTTGAAGGGATTTGTTTTTTCCCCTTTTTTTGTTTTTCGAAAATTTCATTTGAAATTTCCATTCAAAAATAATTCCCAAGCGTATTTTTTTTATTTTTGGGTTCGGGGCTTTTGGTATTATCAATATTATTACAAAGGAAAACGGTTTTTTTACAAAACCAAAGGGCTTTTTCGAAAACACATGGTGGCGCTCACTGTCCAAGTTACAAAGTATCGTAGAATTGTTGTGGTGATTCATCATCATTACTATCTTGATCGGGATGTTCTTTTTATTTTCTGCAGATGTATCTGGTAATGCGGGTGGGTCCTCGGAAGAAACATCATCTGGTAGTGGTACTGGTTCTTCATTAGTAGCTTCTATGTTGTTCACTACGGAACCAGAGAAAAGTTCTGTAAGGCGTTTTGTCTTTGTCAAGATGGCAGCATTTCTTTTGCTCGATTCTTTGGAAATCTTTCTTTTCTGAGCTCCTGACAACTGTATTTTCCGTGGCATACTAGGTCTTCTGAAAAAACAAATATTCAGATTTTTTGACATTTAATGGCATGCACTCACACTCTTACTCTTTCTCTCACACACACAGTAGAGGCCTGGAGTTTACCTGGAGAGAGTTCCGGGGGTCAACGCCCCCGCGGCTCGGTCTGTGACCAGGCCTCCTGGTGGGCCAGTGAAGAGGCAGGGCCAGGAGCTATGAATCGACCCCTGCAACCAAACCTAGGTGAGTACACACTCAGAAGTGTCCCTATTTGCAGATGATGTGAAGTTAATGAGGAGAATTAAATCAGATGCGGATCAGACAGGTTTACAGAGAGACCTGGACAGGCTGGACGTTTGGTCTGGCAACTGGCTCCTAGAATTTAACCCCGCCAAATGCAAAGTCATGAAGATCAGGGAAGGGCAAAGAAGACTGCAGAGTATAGGCTAGGTGGCCAAAGACTGCAAGCCTCACTAAAGGAGAAAGATCTTGGGGTGAGTATAATACCGAGCACGTCGCCGGAAGCACACATTAACCAGATAACTGCTGTGGCATGTGGGCACCTGGCAAACCGGATAATAGCATTCTGATACCTCAATAAGGAATCGTTCAAGACTCTATACACTGTGTACGTCAGGCCCATACTGGAGTACGCAGCACCAGTTTGGAACCTACACCTGGTCAAGCACGTCAAGAAATTAGAGAAAGTGCAAAGGTTTGCAACAAGGCTGGTTCCAGAGCTAAGGGGAATGTCCTACGAAGAAAGGTTAAGGGAAATCGGTCTGACAACACTGGAGGACAGGGGAGTCAGGGGAGACATGACGACATACAAAATACTCCGTGGAATAGATAAGGTGGACAGACAGGATGTTCCAGAGAGGGGACACAGAAACAAGGGATCACAATTGGAAGTTGAAGACTCAGAGTCAAAGGGATGTTAGGAAGTATTTCTTCAGTCATAGAGTAGTTAGGAAATGCAAGTGATGTAGTGGAGGCAGGAACCATACATAGATTTAAGACGAGGTATGAAAAAGCTCATGGAGCAGGCCTCTTTAAGGGGGACTCCTTGTTGTGGTAAAGAGGCTATCAATCTGAGGAATTGGACCTTTTGGTCTTCTTCCTCCGAACGAACTTAATTACCCCCCAATCCTCCCTTCCCTATCCCCTCCTCATACCCTCCCTTTTTTCCCTTCCCTCCCCTCTCCCAACCATCCCCTTTTCCCCATCCTGTTTGTAGCCTCTGGGGTCCTCCCCTCTAGCGTTAGTTTCTAGGTGTCGGGGTGGCGTGCTGGGGTTCGTCCCCTTCCGTGATGTCCCTCGGGGGTGATGTGATTTGCCATGGAATCTGAATTGTCTGAGGATGCCCTGCTCCCTTCCCAGTTTCCGGGTCATGGGCAGGGTGCCCTTCGGATGATGAGTGTATCTCTAAAAGCTGCCTGCCAGTTCTGGGGAGTGGCAGCCAAAGGCGGTATGCTTTGTAGTGGGTTTCCAATCATCCTTTCTTTTGTCCGCCTAGGTAGTTCAGTAGATATGAGGCTGCTGTCCCAGAGTGCTGGTTTACTGGTGTGAAGGGTAGGGTATGACACTGGTTCCACACTGCATCTTCCCTGCCATTGGGCTCGAGGCCCTCTCAGATGAGGGGAGGAGCTTTTGGCCCCTCCTAGCCTCTCCCTCCGCTGTCCCTTTTTTTTTTTTCTTTCCTTCTTTCTTAAAATAACAAGAAAGAAGATATGGAAGATACACCTATTATTATGGAACCTTCACCCAGTGAAACCCTTCCTCTTCCCAGGCCCCATTTTGATCCCACACCTTGTTCTGACCTGGCTTCATTATCGGACCATTCTCTCAACCCTTCTCATACCCCTGTACCTTCTGCTGGTGACACTTCGTCACCTGCTTCAGATGCTGCAGTGTCACAAGTTTCTGTTCATGCCGCTGCTTCTAGCACGCCTTTCACAATGCGTCCGGCTTCCCCAATACAGTGCAACAGTTCTCAGATTGCCCACCTCCCTCTAGTCAAACCGCCCACAGTTCTACACCTAAGCGTCCATGACACCCTACTGATGACGGTTCATCGATGACCACTCAAAAATGACCTACACGACACTCGCTACTTTTGCACACCAGACAAATGAGTATGCAATGGACAAAATTCCTTTCTTTACAAACGACATCTCAAACTGATTATCTTTCTGATCACTGAATTGGTAAAGCTCTTTTATGACCTGTTGGACAACATATATTTTTCCATGCTCTTTGAAGCAGTGCGCATGTTGTAACAGTGCAGAATTCAGAGCAAGCTCATGCTCTCTCCCGCATCACTTCCATAGATAACATACCAGTCACTGTTCTTAAGCATGCTACCCTTAATTCTTGCAGTGGTACTGTGGTCTTGCCGCATACCATTGTACAGTGATTTTTTTGTTTTGTGGTGAGGATATTTTAGAACAATTAGCCCTTCAGAACCTCCCTATCCTCAAGGTAGATACATCCTGTCTGCTCGTGGGCGGAGGTGCTTTCCTAGTAACATTGCTGTCTGTATTGCGGGACATCACCTAGAGGTCCATCAAGTAGTTCCCACTCCCCAACAGTGTCAAAATTGCTGGCATTTTGGACACTCCCTTAAACACTGGAGATCTGTGGTGGAATGCCCATGTGGAATATTAAAATTACCTGGATGAACCTCATAAGATACCAGCAATTGGTAACCTGGAGAGAGTTCCGGGGGTCAACGTCCCCACGGCCCGGTCTGTGACCAGGCCTCCTGGTGGATCAGAGCCTGATCAACCAGGCTGTTACTGCTGGCTGCACGCAATCCAACGTACGAGCCACAGCCCATATCAAGTGTTAGAGACATGTAGGAATTTTTAGACATTTTAGGTCTCCAGAAAATGCCACCCTTCAAATACCCACTACTCTCGTACTTCCACAAGTCACTCTGGACCTATATTAATTCCAAATGAAATAAGCATCACCAGTAATTCTGGTAAAACTATTAATATAAATTATATGGACTGTATGTTAAATTGAGTTAATGAATACATATATACATTTGTATATCAGAAAGGGAATTTATATTAATAACACTCACCAATTTGTCTGGAGATTACTTGGTGTGTCATCCACAACCCCCGACAAATTCTGCTCCTATTTGAGAGGTTTCAAGCACGTATAACCTCCAGAGCTACAAGATATTTTTCCCATTTCACTAACTCTCATCTTGCCCAGTTCAAAACATGGCATCTCTTCCCAAGCAATGCTAACCCTGCTGCTGATTCCTTCTTTATTTCCAAATTAATTTTTACTAACTGCAATGTATTTCACTAAATTACATGCAAAAATACACTATATTTTTGGAAAATATACAATATTTTCCACAGCCCGGTCTGTGGTGCAGCAGATCATTCCAGTACGTCATGTAGTCTTCCCCCTTCTTGTCTCAATTGCAGGGAACCTCGTCCTTCCTTTCCACATCGTTGCCAGGTTTATCATAATGAACAAGAGATCTGTTATCTTAAGGAGCATAAGGGCCTCGCCTACACTATGGCTGTCTCTCGGCTCCGCCTTCAAGGTAAACCTCCTCGTGTCCAATATGCTCGGGTAGCCCGAAGACCTTCAACCTCGAGAGTCCTCCCACCTCCCATTCCCTCTGCATCTGTGTCTTCCAGGGTTGCCAAAATTTCTAATTCTTTTGCAGTTGTATCCTCTGACACTCCTACCTCCACACCACTTCCTACTTCTCCTTCATTTCACTTCTCAGTCTGCGAGACTTCGCACACCTACACTTTCTTCACATCCATCACCTGCACAGAATATATTTCCTACATTGGAGCCTCGTTCTTACCCCCTTTCCAACTCTCATGAAGGTAGAGGTTCACCCCCCTCATGTAGTCCCCTCTTCCTCTGTTCCCCATCAGTCTTCCTCCATAGTTACCCTCCAACCTCCTTCCTCTCCTGTTACACTGCAGGCCTCTTCTGCCCCAACCAATGCATCTCTCCAGTTATACTTCCCTCCCCCCCCCCCTCAGACCCTCTTTGATGCCTCCTTAGTTTCCCCGACCTTTCCTTGGCAATGCTTCTCCTGTCTGACATCATGGCATTGGTGGCTTCCTTAACTGAGACATTAGATGCTGTCTCCAGCTATATTGCAGAGACGACACCCGGATGGTACTCCGTTGACTTTTACCCCCTTCTATTGCACGATCCTTGTTACAATTTATCCTCCACAACATTTCACTTTCTTCCTTGATCTTACACAGCTTACATTACCCCTGCACGTTGACTATACAGATCCATTAAAGGCCATAGGTTTTATCGTTTCTTTTGTTGCCAATTTATGTTGTGTACATAATGTCTTTTTTAAAGTGGAATATTCGTGGCCTTAGAGGTAATCGAGGAGAACTCCAAGTGTTGCTCTCCCAGTTGTCCCCAGTATGTGTTGGGTTGCAAGAGCCCAAAATTCATTCTGCTGTCAATCACACCATTTTGGGCTACATGCTATTACATTCTTCAAATCCTTTACCCGACGAATCATTTAATGAAAGCGCACTTCTTGTGTGAGTTGATATACCGTATCAACAAGTTTTTATTCATTCTCCGTTGCATTATAATGCAGCTCAGATTTATTTACACAGATGGTTTACAGTTCGCTCTCTTGATCTTCCTCCCGTGCATTCTGTATCTCTGGTATTGCGTTTTTAATTTCTTCTCTACTGCCGCCTATCTTGTTGGGTGACTAACACTCGCCATCACCTGTGGGGAGGGTCCCACTGCAACATTCGTGGTGATCAGTTAGACTTCTCACTTTTCACCCTCTTCATGTTTTAAATGCAGGTGCTCCTACCCATTTTGACTCCCACAATCACTCTCTCTCCTGCATTGACCTTTCTATCTGTCCTCGCCCATTGCACTTGATTTCACGTGATCTGTTCTTCCAGATTTACATGATAGTGATCACTTTCCTATCCTTCTTACCTCTACTACATATACCGACCGTTTCATAACCCTCGTGGGCAATTTGCTCAAGCAGATTGGGACTTATACTCCCATCTTACCACCTGTTGTGAGGACCCCCTTTTGTCGTCTATTGATTTAATTTTCGACCTTAGTCCTAACTGTGGCGACATTTTCTATCCCCCAAACCTCAAGTAAGCATTCTCAGACATGCGTACCTTCGTGGTCTCCTACATGCGTCCACACAGTACATTTAAAACATGCTGCGTTGAGTCGATATCAATATAACC